GTTTCTTCCTCATGTCGTCTCAGGAAGTACTTCTTTGCCATAGTCGCCTCTGGCTTACTCAGGAATAAATTTATAAATGTAAAATTTATATCCGGAATTTATATATTTCTGGGAAGCTGCTTTGTGACAATGTCCAATGTTAAAAGCACTATACAAATAAAATTGAATTGAATTGAATTGAAATGAACCAGTCCTGTTCCTGTAGATCTGCTTTCCTAGAGAATGCAGTCCACACCCTAATCCAACACAGCTCAGGATAATCAGTCTACTTGCTTAACCAGGTCATCTCTGTTGGATTAGGCCTGGAACCGAATTCTATAGAAAAGCAGATCTTCAGGAACACGTGATCACTGCCATAATGAGTTCTAAGACACATATGGAAGAAAAATTCGATGAACAGCTGTCATTCTTCACAATTTAGAAACCATGGTGGTGGAAATATCTCTCACCATTTGGAATATAAAGCTGCTCAGGACACCAGTGATGGTCCTTCCCATAAGCCTCAGCAGCAGGAACTGGATGATTATGCATAATGCAGAGTGATACACCTGAGACCCTGAGACAAATACAGAGTATAGGTGTGTTAGGGTAGTCAGGTGTGAAAGGGCAGCTTCATTTAACACCTTGTGGACATACTCACGCACACACACACACAAAACAAAGGCAGAGAGAGAACTATAGACACTAATTTGTCATCACACATATACCAGGAGCAGTGCTAAGAAACAGGGTTTTCTATCTAGCTCTTTTGTCTAAGCTTTTGTCCAAGCTGCCAGTGTTTGACCCCGGCTTCCTAACAAGCCGGGATATGCGAAGAAAAGAATTTCACTGTACTTGTATATGTGATAAATAAAGGCTGTTTGAAAAAAATGCAAATTAAAAAATCTGAATGGAATAGCCCAAGATAAATATTGCAAAACATTGTTTTTTTTTATTTCACTGAGGTGGAAATGAATGATGGAAACAGGATTTCCATATAAATTTTGATGTTGGGAATGAAAGACATGTTTCTTCACTATATCTAAATATATATAAACATAAAGATGATGAGAGAGGACACTCATGTGCTGCTTGTACAGACCACGAAACAATGGCCTTTCTTGGATCAACATCAGACATCACTGAGACCCTGACCAGGACAAAATAGTTACTGATGATGAATGAATGAATGAATGAATGAATGAATGTAAACATTAAATTCATCTATTACGCTAGTGGCGTTCTGAAAAACAGCCTTGCCCATTGCAGTCTTTTCTCCCTAATCATTTGTACGTCACCTTTCAGATTTTCACATTACCGCAGTCATGGAAACACACTCATTCAAATTTCTTTTGTCCACTTTTTGCAAACTGTGAAATGTTTGAATGAAAACACAGCCAGACACCTTAAGGACCAAAAAAGATGGCAGACATCAACAAAAGACATTCAGATAAGTAATCAGGCAGAGAATAGACACACCTGCTGTTAAGGCCAGGGAAGCGTTAAAAAATAAAATAAGCACAGGTTAATAATACAGTCAATCATAACATCCTTTCACTCGAACTGTATTCAGTCTTAAGCCATGTCTCAAATCAGACACTATGCTCTTGGACTATGTTCTTGGACTGTACACTATGTACCTATCAGGTGCCAATAATTTTGTAGGAAGATATTGTCCCAAGTCAAACACAATTTGCACAGAAAGGAACATATTACCGTGTTATACCTCATGTCACCAAAAACCACAGGGACAAGCGCCAATATTAAAATGTTCACCCAAATTATTCTGCAGTGTCCTAAATTGTTGGGACAACCTCTCATACTGCAGCGACCTATGCTGCCTCTTCTCCTCTTCTCCTGTCTACTTAGAGCCATCAGACTAATAGTACTCTACATCTTGTTACATTTCCTAGTGTATACACACTACTTGAAATTTGTATGCACTTTAAGACATAGCTTTGACCAATTGCATGCGAACAAGGCCTTGATCCTTCCAGCTTGTGGGTTTTACTGCGAAGAGGAACTCACTACCACAAGGTTAGGACCTTTCACCTAATTTATTCCTTACTTTATAAATTAAGGAAACTTACAAAAGGAAATGGTCCTTTCACTTAATATAGGGAAACAAACTTACTGCATCAGCAGACTGGCAAATAAACCAAATTATGATTAAAAAGTTAAAACAGTTAAAACTAAGGGCCAAAAGTTTGTGGACACCTGACCAGTCACACCCGTATGTGCTTGTTGAACATCCCATTCCAGATTTAGTCCTCTTTCTGCTGTTTTAATAACATCCACTCATCTGGGAAGGCGTGCTCATTCAACCATAAGAGCATTAGTGAGGTCAGGCACCGATTTTGGACAAGGAGGCCTGGTGCGCAGTTGGTGTTTCAGTTCATTCCAAAGGTGTTCAGTGGGGTTGAGGTCAGGGCTCTGTGCAGGCCACTCGAGACATTCAGGGGCATTATCATGCTGGAACAGGTTTGGGCCTCTTAGTTCCAGTGAAGGGAAACAAAGACATCCTATACAATTGTGTGCTTCAAACTTTGTGGCAACAGTGTGGGGAAGAATAAACATATGTGTGTGATGATCAGGTGTCCACATACTTTTGGCCATATAGAGCAGTTAAAACATAACACTGTCTCCATTTTAAATCTCCTGCCCTTTCCCCTAATTTTTCCTTCTGTCTCACCAAAGTTGAACACAGCCAAAGACAGGCCTGAGACAGCGTGGAATAGATGAATAACAGATGGAGACTGATGGAACAGAAACCGCCGGTACACCAGCGCAAAAGGATAACCTGTGAAGAAAGAGAGAGAAAGAGAGAGAGAATTTTATTCCAAAGTAAGATATTATGCAAAAAGCCATGTAGTTAATTAGGATTTTGGTAAGAATATCAGCTTCATGCTGGCTGTTGTCTGCAGCAGGCTCTAAATGTTAGATTTTCAGAACCGTAAGGGGGAATTACAGGCAAAATAGATGTTAAGACATCAATAATATTTGACAAGTTTAAATATATAGCCTTTACACAGAGTGTTATTAACACGTTATTAGCTAAATAAATACTACAACAGTCTACACTGGGTAAATAGGTGTAACCTACTAGATCTGAACAGTCAGATAATGTTATAATTAACTTTTCCTTTTGTACTGAATTGTGCACTGTTTATTACTGAGGAGCAATGAGTCAACAAAAAGAAATTGATTAAGGTTCATGCTTAAAACAATATTTCATAAATAAACACTGAAAAAATGACCTATTCTCACTGGTTTATGGGAGTGTAACACCAAAAAGTAATTTATCCCCAGTCCAACTCAGCACACATTGGAGGGCGGCCTGTCCTTCTTAGAAAGCTAATCATGCATCTAGATATGTTTTTCTCAAATGGGGCACTAAAAAAAGAGTAGTTAACAAAAAAAGGAAAACAGAAACTTCTAAGGGAAAAAGTAAAGAGCATTATTTTTTCCAGAAAGTAATTTAATGTAATTAGAACTACAGACCTTATTACACTAATTAAAAATTTATTAAGTAACCAAGTAAGAATTATTGAGCTGGAACCAGCTTTATAATTAAATACACCTTGTTGCTTTTAGGTTTGAACGTGACTGGGATGAAAGCAAAAGAAACAAGTGGCCAACTTAAATAAATAAATAAATAAATAAATAAATCACACACATTCTAGAAAAGACAAACAAAAAAATTAAACTGAAAACCCAAACTCAAAAATACAGGCCCATTTCTTCCACTGAACACAATCCAGATAATTAACTGTTTATAGGAGAATAAATCTGTAATGTGTTAAATGTTCCTTTAGTTTTCAAAACAAATCCAGCCTGGTAAAGTGGTACTTGACTTAAAATATTATTGGTGTGGGGTTCTGTAAGCAAAAAAGATTGAGAACCGGTCTAGACAGTGACGTAAACAAACAGCAAACCAGACGGTCTCTCAGGAATAATATCCATGCTCAGGGTAAGAACACAGACATAAGTGCAGTAATGTTAGCTAGACAACAGCCGTAATACAACTAGCTAGCTGGGTCTAGCATTCTGAAGGTGCCTGTATCAATCCACTGCTACTCTCCATGTCTATAACTAGCAGTTTACTTTATTGGACTTTGTACTGAAATGCTGAAGCTAACTTACAAGGGTTCTTAGCCCAAGCCAGAGACAGCCTGCTTCAGTTACGCAACTCACCATAAACCACTGATAATATCTGATAAATCCCACCCACTGAGGTTGATGGACAGATAAGACAGATATCTGTGAAATAAACCTTCCTCCATAGTTCACAAAAGTTCATGCCATCAACACATCCTCAAGCAAAACCTATTGCACAAAGTGTTATTTACCTTTTAGCTTAACAGCAGAACTATTTTAAGTCCTACTCTGGAGGGATGAGATCTGTCTGTTAAGTAACGCTGCTGCGGGATGCAATTATACAGTATATTTGTAGCAATGATAATCTATGCGCATGGAATAAGTGATCTCTATATAAATAAATCATGGAGATGGAAGCATCTTCATGACGTATGCATGGTTGTCACACCTAAAGTTCTAGCTGAACTACATACACCTCACATCTTTAATGCAAACCAGAAGTCTCGCTTCTTTCACAAGTGCTTTCAAATGGTGTCTATATTTTATATGTTCTGCATTTTAAACAACAGACAACAAAACTAAGCGCTTCATCCAGATTGGGATGGGACTAACATTTCAGAGATAGACAAGTAATAATTACTTTACCCCACCTCCTCATGTTAAACTAATCCTGTCTGAATATGGCTTTAGACAGGTAATGATCCCAGTATGGAGTGAAGGCGTGATTTAGGAGTCACACTCGAGAGCGTTTTGTTTTCCTCTTTCGGCCCGTTAGGGGTCGCCACAGCGGATCATTGGTCCGCTTATTTGATTTGGCACAGTTTTGATTTGCCCTTCCTGACGCAACCCTCCCCAATTTTATCCAGGCTTGGGACTGGCACTGAGAGCGCACTGTTGCGTGCAACCCCAGTGGCTGAGGTTGGTTCCCTGGCCGGGAATCGAACCCGGCCCGCAGAGAACCCAGTGAGAGCGCTGTGGCATAACCGCTAGTCCTCCAGGCTCCCTATCAAAGATCAGCAAGTCTGTGCAGCTCATGACTACCGAAAATATTGAAATTAGCATGGAGCAGTAAAATAGTCTCAGGTGAGTTCGAAATTGACATGCCTTCTCTTCACTTCTGGTATAACCACAAAACTGAAATAATAGTACTTTTGGAGAAAGAGTGTCTACATTGTGATTGTTAGTAGTCAATGCAGTTACCATTGTCATATGATGTGAAACTGAACAATGTAGTAAATCTAACCATGACAGGCTTCTTCAAATAATAACAGAACGCCTGCTGGGAAATGTGAAGGTTCACTTCATCACTGTCTTACTGCAAGGACACCCTTGTAAAAGATGTGGCTACGCCCCTGATTCTTGCTCTGTATATCAGACACATCTTCCAAAAAAAAACCACGAAAAAGAAACTAACCCACAGTGAAGCATACAGAAAATATCTGCCTCAGTAACGCTCAAGAGAAACCTCTGGATTTGTCTTTTAATGCAGGCAGGTCAGGTGTTTGTCAGCGTGCCTCAATACAGATTTATGAGTCAACAGGTGACCTTGTGTGAAGACCGCCATTCAGAGTTTCCAGATAGCAAAGGCCAAATGTTTTTTTTAACAAAAACAAACTACTGTCTTATAGAACTTTGACAGAACAATTCAAGCATGTCTTGTATATAATATTTTTTGCATTTAATAGCTGGGCTTTAACGCTGAATTCCACTAACCAATGAAACACACAAACTATTTGGAGGTGTGAGAATAATTTATCATTTCTTTTTCAGTTAAACGTTATACAAAACAGTGACCCACCATAGCTTACCATGGCTACAACGTGTCATGCTATTTTAATATCATTTATCAGTATGCATGGCCATGTGTCAGGCCAAAGTCTACACGTTTACTCAGCTCCTATGTATGTGTATCTTCTTTCACACAATCTCTCTGTCCAAAGTGTGAATCAAAACCGTCCGAGATACAGAAATTTTAACCAAGTCATTATCCTAGATAAAGGTTTCAGAAAGGGGAAGAGTGTTAGGAAGGCATTCATAAGTAAAGCGTCAGCCTTTAGTGAGTGAATGTGTGAGTGAGTGAGTGAGTGAGTGAATGCGTGAGTGAGTGATTGAGTGAATACGTGAGTGAGTGATTGAGTGAATGTGTGAGTGAGTGATTGAGTGAATGCGTGAGTGAGTGATTGAGTGAATGTGTGAGTGAGTGAGTGATTGAGTGAATGCGTGAGTGAGTAAATGAGTGAGTGAATGCGTGAGTGAGTAAATGAGTGAGTGAATGTATGAGTGAGTGAGTGAGTGAGCGTAGGAGTGAATGAGTGAGTGTATGAGTGAGTGAGTGAGTGAGCATAGGAGTGAATGAGTGAGTGTAGGAGTGAGTGAGTGAATGCGTGAGTGAGTGTAGGAGTGAGTGAGTGTATGAGTGAGTGAGTGTATGAGTGAGTGAGTGAGTGAGTGAATGCGTGAGTGAGTGTATGAGTGAGTGAGTGAGTGAATGCGTGAGTGTAGGAGTGAGTGAGTGAGATTCTTCTGGAGGTGTTTGTAGGGAGGAATGGAGCCTAGTGCTGACATCGCCCTTCTCGACCTCCACGTGGTGCAGCAGTGCCTTTCATGTTCCCCTCCTGGACTGGAAACTAAAAAGCGCTCACAGCACAAACAGCTATCTGATCTTACACAGCATTTAGTTCAGCTCACTAAGTTACACTGAACACAAAGCTGTGTGGCTGCGGGCAGCTCATTTTCATAAAGCGGAACATCTCTACAGTTTGCTATGAGAAGAATTAAACTGTGCTTACCTATTAAAATAGAAAGAATTAGTCGAACTGCCGGCTCGGGCGAGCCTAAATATTCCGCCAGGTTCTCCGTCAAGGAAGCCGCCATGTTTCTTGTGGGCGGAAGTGGCGCTGATGGGAGTTTCCGTGATTGTGTGCGGCAGCTCGCGAGCTCACCGCTGTCTCTCTCTCTTCCTCTCTCTTTCTCCCTCTCTCCCTCTCTCTCTCTCTCTCTCTCTGTGTTATAGTATTTCTGTTCTCTCCTCCCCCTTTCTCCTCCTCTCCTCACTCTCTTCCGCTCTTTCATACACACATTTCGCAACGCTGAGAAGATAAACTCACACTCGGGATGTATAGATCAGGGCTTCCCAAACTGTCACAGCCAGGGATCCCTTCAGAACTGCACAGTAAATGACACTGATCTCACTGATGAAATTATATTGTATACTCATTTTATTTTAATAGAACAGATTTCTATTCACGAAATCTAACTCATTTTATTCAAAACTGGATAAAATTAAAATTTGTGAAAAATAATAATAATTTTTAAAAAACTATATGAAATATAAAACCTGGAAACAACACCACGCCCCCACCCAGTTAGAGAGCCACTGGATTACTCAGCATTACTATCACTGTAATAAACTATAAGAGTGTGGTATTATTAGCACCATGTTAAAAGGCATTATAACAGGCTTATTATGCAACTATACCATTTCACTTCACAGTAGTGATTATAATTTCGCTGTTCTTCACTTCCTGATATAAAAGACTACTAAACACTAAAGAACAAGTGCATATTTAATTCACGCTGAACTGGAACAATTATAAAAACCACCCACAAAACTACACACCACACCGTTTGAACTTCTTTTAACACCATTATAAGGGCTTCTTCTTGCGAAGAAACCTTCTGGACAAATACTAAAAGAGCAAATTTTCCTACTGTAATTGCCCTTCCGTGTCATGTCTTAGTAAGTCCGATAGAGTGCTCAGTCATGGTAGATTCACTGTGCTATCGGTAAATAATAATGTTGAAATATTACACATTATGAATTTAACATTTAATAGTATACAGTTTCAGCGAGTGATTACACAAACAGTAATTCCACTTCAATAAAATATAAAAGATTCTCACGAAAACTCATGCACGCAAGGGCTTATGGGTAAGTGCATATCCTGGCGGTTGATGCGACGTCACTCTGTATAATCGCTGCCATTTGAGGAGCTCCGTTACTCTAGCAACAATAAGCAACGATGAGGACAGGAAGTAAAAGCCAATGGGCGGGACTTGCGTCAAAATCTTACGGCTATAGAAAAACAAGGAAAAATATCATAACATAATTAATTAACGATAATACCATCATTTGACATGTTAAAAGCTATTTATAATGTGATAAATTCTGTATTCATAACCTACATGACATTAATTAAAGGGCAGGTAGCACACCCTAATAAGCTTATTCTTTCCTTCACTCATATCAATATAATAGTAAACAAAAATGTTATTTAATTTTGCAAATCAATAGTTTTTTTAATTATTTGCATAAATCTGCATATTTTAAAAACATAGGCACTTTTCAGCAAATGGATTCAACTCATGATTGTTTGTTTGTTTGTTTGTTTATGCACCAAATAGTCAGACTGCAATATATCAGTTATTAAAATATTGTAATTTCATTAAATCTTTATTAGAAAATGTATGGTATATGCATATTTTGCATAGTTTTAGGCATAGTTTTCAAAATGTCACCTTAAATTAAAACCACTCAAGATATTAAGGAGCCACCACTTCTCAAAGTCTGGCTTTATAAATGAACTAGTGTCTGAAATTATGGTAATGATCACCCTTTGAAGGAAAACATTTTTAAAAAAAAAAAAACAGTTGATGAATGAAGCCAACAGTCAGCAGTTTCTGATCAACAGCCAACAGAAACGTCTTCTAAGAAAATGTTGGTCCCTGGTCTACAGAACAACATTTATGCAAAATTAATTTAGGTTAAAATATAAAAATAATGTATTTATATCAATAATTTGTCCAATTCAGTTTTACATATAGTGTATTTATGATAGTCATATTTGAACAGTGATTTTTTTTTTTAATATGAAAATTGATCATTGGAAGCAAAATCATAATTAAAAAGAATGTGCAAATTGTGAATCTCACATGTTTCAGCTGCAATATAATTATTACAGGCAGCTGATTAATCCTGTCTGCCTGATAAAGGTTAGAGTAATATCTTAAGTTGCAACAACAATGCTTTTTTAGTAAAGCACCTTGAGAGGCAACACAGTTTAACAAAGATGGAAAGATCGTCACATAATAAATGGTGCCCTACTATTTTAAGACGTGTGCATATCTCGTCAATCTTATCCCTGACTGTCCATAACACATGTGTTATAAGGATATGGGCAGAAGTACAGTATGTCCTGTGAAAATCTGTCATTACGTGTGCAAAGCTGTTGCTTTACAATGAAATATGTGTCTTGAGAGAGAGAGAGAGAGAGAGAGAGAGAGAGAGAGAGAGAGAGAGAGAATCTGTGTGTGTAGTTACGCTTCACCTTAAAAATCAATTGATTACTGATAAATCTCTTTGCTGATCAAACCAGTTTATGCATCTCACAGAGAATCAAATGCAAACTCTTACTTCACACTTTCAAAGCATTACACGGCCTCACCCCACTTCTGAGCTCCTACGGATCTACACCCCTACTCAGTTCCCATGTCCACGTAAAACTGAGCTACTGCTGGTGCCTAAGATCAGTCTGAGTTCAGTGGGAGGCAGATGTTTTAGTACCATAGCCCACAAACAAATTGTCCCCCAGGCACTTAAATGTAAAATGTAGTTAATTTAAGATGTGCTTTTTCTCCCAACACCTTACCCCTTCTTCTTCCTGCCAGTCTCTTTTGTTATTACAGCGATCTTGTATGCTAGAAAGCCAAAACATAAGTGGAATGCATTATTATTATTATTATTATTATTATTATTATTTAGATGGAGAGTACCAAATCTACAGAAGCTCTGTACTGCCACACAAGAAAAACATTCCCATCAGTATCATTATTATGAGAAAATATCGAGTCATTATGAGAAAATTCTCATTATAACGAGAAATGAAAAGCTCCAGTAGTCACGATGTCATGCCTGTGGATGACACATGAAGTGGGCTAATGTCACTTATACGAGGGCCTGCTGTGAAAATTTCTTATACTCATTTCTCATTATTGCCTACAC